GTTAAAAATCTTCACCTTGTTGCTATTTAAACAATATATTATGATTGTATTAACCAAACAAAAAAAAAGGGACCGGGTTGTAAAGAGTAGTGGAATTGCATCCCCTTAACATGATGATGTAGGATAATGAAAATTTGATGCTGCAACAGTATGCCAGTCCCCTTAAGCCAGGTTTCACCTAGAAGGCCCAGTTCCATCTCCTATGGGAACCCTTTGATGGGCAGACTATTGGACCCTGTGTTAACGTTGTTAAGTATGTTGGCCCTATTTGCTATACACCACAAAGGAGTGATTGGCACCTGAAATCCTTAGTGCAGAAGCTCAGACCGGTATTCTTGTGTCTCTCCCTTACAGGGATGCTGACAAGTCCTTTGTATTTAAAATATACATTCAGTTAAAAAAGGGATTTACAAAGCCTGGGAGAGATGTAAATGTGCCTGCTCTTTTTTCTTCCTTAGTATTGGCAATCCAAACATAAGAGTCCTTTGTTTGTACTCAAGAGCCTGAAAGGCAAGTGGGAATGAATGAATAGATACAAAAAGTGAAACTGGCAGCTTGTAGTTCATTGAACAAGCTAATAGAAATGCAGAGATTATAGAAAATTGCTGAAAAAAGTGTTTCTTGAATTTGTTGCTTTTATCGTCTCAAATGTTGGCAGCAGCATGGATACGAATGTCTTAATCTGGGAGCATTTCTGGCCCTATTTGATGTCAACTGGTAAAACTTGCGTTGGCTCTAAGTGAGGCCTGGGTTGCACCCTGGAACCTGACCCTCCTCTCATTCAAACTATTACATATCCCCATTAACCACACTGAAGGTGTAGAGAAGAAAGGAATCTCTTTGCTGATATTTATGTGGGTGCTATTCTTTGGAGACATGTCCTAAAGAAGAGAGGGAACCATCTCATTCTGCAACAACTTCTAAATCAATTTTGAGAGCCTGTCTGAAAGAAAACCAGATTGCGTTGTCTGTCCCTGTATTGCAGGTTTTTAGCTCAAGCCTCACAGCTGTATGACTCGTCCCAGATCGCCAGCATCGGGTACATCTTGTCCACGACAATAGCAATTACAGCAGGTAACCTTGCCCAGACATGTATCAAGTACATTGTAATTTAAAAACATAAGAGCAAAATGTGATGAAGCATATTCCTGACTTGTAGCTAAGGAAGAATAACAGCCTTGCTGAAGATGTCTTGTATTTTCTTGCCCTCCTCTAAGGTCAGATTCATTTTTCAAGTGTGAATTATCCCACTAGATTTGCTAAAGTTTTCTGTTAAGCTTCAGCAGCTGGTTTGATGCCCCTGCTGTTTCTGACTGAGACAGCGTTACTCACGCCTGCTTAATGTGTCCATCCTTGCTAGACATATAACACAGGTCAGCAGCTAAAAGTTCTCTCCCTGTGAAGCACCATCCAGCTGATGCAGATGCTTGACAAAGCAGGTCTGATGCTAGAGATAAACGCTTTTGTATTCTCCAGAACAGCCTTTTGCAATTCTGTGCCAGAAACTTCTGTTTCTGTGGTATGGAGAAAGCAGCTGCTTACATCTTTGCAGGCACTTGTCTCTCTGAGCAAGTCCTTCCTGGTCAGCTCTGATCTACCAGAGGGCTCTTTTTCAGTATAACCAAAGGTGGGAGTTTAACCCCAAACTACTCTAGGCAGATCACCCCGCTCCTCCAGCCCTTATGGACAATCTTAGTGCAACTGGAGAGTGGCTTTGTGAGGTGTACCTTTTGTCACTTGGGAAGGATTTGAAGAATGGCTTTTTTGCTGTATCTTATGCTAGAAAAAGAGTTTCCATGCAAGGGGGTTTATATCTGCATGGCTATAATGGTTTTTCATAGATTCATAGATTCATAGATTAAGGGTC